CTATCACCCAATCTCACACAATCTGGCTTCAGACAACACTCTATTCATCGTCTGTATAGCCCTCTGCACAACGGTCTATCTGCAACCAGCCAGCTATTTCGTCTGCTTAGTGGGAAAAAAACGGTGAATTATTGATTTTACATCTAGCTAAAGTTATTTCCAGCCTATTTTGTCGGACCCTGTCTGCCTTCGTGTCTGTCTGTGTATGTGTGTGTTTGTGCATGTCTATGGTGCTGGTGATTACGTGTATTTTGATTCACAACTCCTGTGTATCAGGCGCTTTTCTAAAATATTGAAGCAAAAGCTTCTTCTGCTGCATACACCTGCCGCAGATGCTATATAATTATGACCACACCTATCTGAATATATATATAAGCATATTCAAAAACACACAAGCAAAAACATATACTTACAACACATCCATGTTACCATTGATTCTACTATTACTTTTTTCTTTTGTTTTGGGTTACACAAATTTTAACAATTTCCTGTAACAATTGACAACTCATAGACATTACGTTGTCACTGGATTTAGGATCTTATTTCCTTGATATTATCAATGAGGGGAATAGGGACAGGAAAGTATAAATATAGGAAAGAAATAACTCAGATGTCGTTATTATATAATAAGATAAATAAAGACAGGAAGCTAAACTGTTTTTTTTCTCATCGGTAATTTTTCACAACTGGTATGATTTGTTTTTAAAGATTATTATGAAATCATTAGTCTTAAAGTTTTTTACCGTCATAATCGTGCTCTTGGAATTATAAACTGCAAGATGTTTCTCAAAGCAATAGCTTTTTTTGATGTGCAGGTAAATTTTATTGGTCTGAAGAACGGAAACAGTAAAACCTATCAAACTTGATGCACAGTGGGAATATGGAGAACCCTGGTAGACAGCTTTTCTCTACTTTTTTTTTTTGCCTGAATTGTGGAGCTGCAGATGCTTTCAGTAATAAATCAGTTCTGTAAATTGGGAACTCTACGAAACAATGCTATAATATTGAATAAAATAATGATACGTAAGTCTGAAAAGTACACCCTATACTGAATACTCGTATAATCATCTTTTCTTCGTTCTTTTTTTTTTTTTTTTTTTTTTTTTTTTTTTT